CATATACATTTTCCTAGCTACAACATCCACCACAATGTGTTGAGCTAGCTAGCTGCAAATTTATATGCGGACCAAAGTGGGGAATTTGCATGAAACCATGACCAAGTCTTCAAAAATGTGATACCCGACAAGGTGTTGGTCCAATTTTAATTTCCTTATCCAACAACATCACAAAGATCTTCATGCAAATGAATTGAATGGTTTCCAATTTTCCAGCTCACAAATATGAAAATAGTAGAGATGGATGTGAAAAGCACTTTAGCAATCTTTCATGTGGCCCATCGCAATTTACATGAATTTATGGGTAGAGCTCCACTAGTTTTGAAGCAACCTCATGGACCAAATTGTAATTAAATACATAATTTTATATCTAACACAATATCCATTCACGTTGAATATGGACCAGGATGAGCTTATCCTGGTTCAAGTTTTTTATACAAGGACAATCACATTGGAAATTGATGAATTGATTTTGGAGATTAACTCAAACTGGGTTCAGGTTCTATCCAGGGTTTTTTTTTTATTTTTTACTTTTTATTTTTTTATTTTATCTTAAATAGCAAAAAGATTAGAGGATAACTAAGCAGGTTAGAGTAATGTGCTCGTCTATTGCACCTACGTTCAAATCTTGCTCAACTTAATTTATATTAGATAAGAATATCGTTTGAATTCATAGACAAGCCAGCTTGAGGAGAACAACTTTCATGTGGCACAGGTAAAGTTGGCACAAGTATACTATTGCTGTGATGTCTTATGTCAATCATATAATGTCGTATGAAGAGAAACTTACTAGTATCTTTGTATCAGTGACACAAGACACTTCATGATAGTGTACTCATGTTATGGAAATCCTCCAGTTTGATATGGAGAGAATCATGCTCATAAGGACACGAAGTACAAAAGATGATTTCGTAATCACATTCATTTGTCTTATTATGCTTCCTGATTTACGTAAATGTTTGAGTTGTGGAATCTTTCCTTGTGCAAATTGTCAACGGTAAAGCCTCTGTAAAAACTGCATAAATACCATGTACTCAGATCAATGGAAATCATCCAAAATTCAACCAAGAACCTGTGTCTTCTTTATGTTCCTTCTCTGCAGTACTTAAATCTTTTACAGTTTACACAAGATGTATGCTTCTTCTTGGAACAAATATAATATCATGTAAAGAAAGATAAAAGCAATTAGCTCTCTAGTCCAACTGATATAATCTGTCCAGATCATAACCAATATTATATGTCATTGCCCATGAGTGAGTGAGTGATAGATTATGGTATTGGTATGCATCTCAAAAGCCTAAGCTAGCAACTTGAGAAGTTGATACCATGTGTGTAAGAAACACAAGAGAGTAAATAGGAGTAAATGCACCTGCAACACATCAACTAACCACAATACTCCCTCACCTGCTAATATTAACTTCTCCCCTATCTACCCTTATATATTCACCCTCTTCCCCCTCCCTACAGTTACTGCACCATCCTTCGTTCCTTCTGCTTCTCCCTAATTTCTAATTTCTTGCTCTTCTAAGTAACTAGACAAAAATGGGGAGAGTGAGAAGAAATGCAACCTCTTTGTTCCTATGGACTTTGGTTGCTGGGTTGCTCTCCCAGAACTTGATCATCCCTGTCATGTCCTCCGCTGTTCAAGACCAGAAGACCTACTACTCTCCACCAGACCCCCACTCGGGCAGCCCCCCTGGAGGTCTCTCTCTCTCTCTCTCACAGTTGATATTATGTCATAGCATGCACTAATATGTGTTCTCATGATCTCTCCTACTAATGCAGGTTCACACGGAACTCCTTCCCGCCCACCATCACACGGAGGCGGCTCTCACAGCCCGCCCTCTCATGGAGGTGGCGGAAGCCACAACCCTACACCATCACCACCTTCCAACTGTGGCACCCCACCAGCACACCACAACCCTACTCCATCCACTCCAAGCGGTGGTGGCTACTACCACTCTCCGCCACCAACTTATGGCGGCAGCCCCCCAACCACACCAATAATCGGTACCCCTCCCACCCCAGTCATTGTGAGCCCCCCAATCCCAGTCATTGGAACCCCACCAACTGACCCGAACACCCCAACTATTCCCACTCCACCTTTTCTTCCTGACCCCAACTCCCTTCCACCCTTCACATGCAAGTAAGTAACCGATTTACATAATAAGCAGTGATTAGCTGGTAACGAATATCAAACTATAGTATTTGGCACATTACTGATATTTGGTTGAAAATTCGATTTCAATATCAACTAATATTGTAGATAATAAAACGATCATATCCAAAAATTACATATACATAACTTCACTTCCATCTCTAATCACAAAAATTGTTACCATGTTTTGCAGCTACTGGAGGAGCCACCCAACACTGATATGGGGTCTGTTGGGCTGGTGGGGAAATTTGGGCCACTCTTTTGGTGTGTCTAGTCTTCCAGGGATCGGATCCGGCATCATGAGCCTCCCGCAGGCCCTTTCAAACACCCGCACCGACGGGCTAGGAGAGCTCTACAGACAAGGAACTGCTGCCTTGCTGAATGCCATGGTGGATAACAGGTTCCACTTCACCACCAACCAAGTCAGGGACAGCTTCGTCCGAGCACTGGGATCGAACAAGGCTGCAGCGACTCAAGCCCGCGTTTTCAAGCTTGCCAACGAAGGAAAACTCAAGCCAGCCTGATCTCAATCACAATCATCATTTGCTTCATTTAATTAAATTTCGAAGTTAATCTTTATGAGTTGTTTAAATACCTATATCTAAGACTACTTAAGAGAGGCTTCAGAGTGTGTGTTTGTTATTGTTCTTGAACGTTACGTTCTTAGTTTCTAATCAAATTTGCAGTGCTACAGCATGTTAAGATGACGCATACTTTGGTTTAAATTTATTTAATTCTTATTTTATATCATCTTAATTCATTTTTAATTAAATATAATTCAAGATTTATTTTCATATCTCATGCAGCATAAATAGAGGCAACAGTACTACAAGTGCTAAAACGAATCCCAAACTTTAGATAATTAATGTGAAAACGACATGACAATGTTTAATTTATGGAAAGTAGATGAATTTCAGGTAAAAATCACATGTTAATAAAACTATAGTACTACCTCTGCAGCTCATACTCCTGAACGCGTCTTTCGTGTTGCAGAAAAGAAAATATGTAAGGACCACCGTCTTAAATTATCAGTACGGACTATTTTTTGTTGAGTAAAAGCATGAAATCTCTAAGTTGTAATCAGTTTCCTAAACCTAATGACATCTTAACTCGCATGCTAATCATACCCGAAGGATGTCTGTAGAAGATGAAAACGCAAGCACAAGAACATAGCAGAAATAAAACTGCCAGGAAACTGTAACAGGGAGAAGAAATATAACAAAACTTTCAATCTTGCACAAATCCAAGTTCTCTTCCCCTTCTAAATGGATATCACTAAAAGTTGCATACGTGAGTTAGGCCAGCTAGTCAGGTCACCCGGGTTCAAATCCCCCTCCACCCTGGGGTTAGATTAGAATACCCGTTTTGTCGAACAAAAACTATATCACCAACTCCACTTTTGATTGAGGACGTTAAAGATGGGATAACCAATAACTTGGGATTAAGGTAATTGAATGGGAAATTACCGTTGTTAAGGCCAAAAAGATTGATGAGATATAGCTTTGCTTGGTCCCCTCTTAAATGTCATGTTTAAACTTTTCTCAGCATAATATAATGTTTAAAAGTACGACACATCCAGCTAAACTAAGCAAAAAGTATTTGAACTAGGGGAATGGCATAGGTACACCATGGCATCCTGTGCCAATTAAATAAGAACATGCGGGTAAAAAGTTATACAAATCTTTATTTCATTGCCACAAAATGTCACCTTTACAGTATACTCGTTCTATGTAAGTTCTTTTTGAACCAAATCACAATTCATTAATTCACAAACAAAACATTACAAAAGCTAGTCTTGGTTAAATGTGTAGCCCAAGTTAAAGCAAATATTATGGTACATAACTAAGTACAAAAGCACACAATACAAACAACACAAAACGTTGTGTGTGCTGAATGGGTGACAAAGATCATATATAATTGAAATTTGAGTTAAATGTATCAAACTCAAAGCAAGCCTCAGGTATTAAATGTACTTAATGGTACAATAAAGGATTAAACATCATAATAAATGGATACCTACCAAACTAACAAAAAGGAAATATATGATATACGTTAAAGGGCCAAAAGACAAAAGTGGCACCATTGTTATCCACATATTTTCAATTTCCTACCCCATAACAGCGTACTCTAACTCACCCACTACCTTAAATCTAATAGTGTTTGTTTGGTGAGAGAGAGAGAGAGAGAGAGAGACAGAGAGAGAGAGATGAACGGCCCATGGAACCGTCCACGGAGAGTTTTCCCGTCAAGATTGGGGGAGGGGTGGAGGAAGAGGAGCGGTGACGGAGGAGGGGGCGGGTGACAACAGAGAGAGAAAATAGAGAAATAAGTAAAATCGACAGTTAAAATACTTTGTATGTCATGAGGAAAGTTTTTAAGTGTACATACAATTAACTGCAATGTGATACTTGTAGTAATGATTTTATGATAGCAGTTGAGTTATCATCCATTGCCCAACCTAGAAAGTGTATGTAAGTTTTTAAATCTTCTGGGGAACAAGACAACTAAATGCCATCTTCTACTTACTTAAAGTGTTGTGCTTCTGATATTTCCTTGTGCAACCTACGGATGCCTGTCCCAAGATGCATCTGTTTCTATGTTCCTCCTGGTAAGCTTCAGAAGACCTTTCTAATGCCTCAATATACAAAGATGGACACTATGATTCGAACGCTAAACATGTTTCCTGAGTACAACAAGCATTAGTTGCAACATGCACATAATAATTTTCTTTGGATGTTTAATAAAAATTTCGGCATGTTTATAACAAGGCACATATAGCAAAAGAACGAGCAAAAGTACTTCCTACAAAAGTAGTCCCAAACGAGCCCTAATTCTCCATGAACAACTAGAAATAGGTGGTCATCTCTATCTCATGCTTGTGATTACATGGTTTGTCAATCAAATGACATTCAAGATCAACCAGGGTACAGTAATAAGAACAGCTATCGAGTTTTTATGCTCTTATTTTCCCACTGGTTATCGGTTGTTGAGATAAGAGGAAAAGAGGATCAAAGTGAATGAAGAGATCTACGCATCTAAAACTTAACAAATGTTGGAATCCCAGCAAATATCTTATTGAACAGAAAACTACTTTTATTATTCTTTCTTACTTCCAAATAATGTAATAGGAAGATTAATTTACAATTACATTGGGCAGCCAAGTTTACAGTTGACCTAACCGATACTGTATATCTATCATGTATACTCTTCATCGTGCGACCTTCAAGCTTGTCGAGCATATCAGCCAATTCAACATAGCCTTTTCTTCACAACTAATCAATTGATTTCGGATTCGATCCAAAAGAATAATTGAAGATGTGTCTTTTCAAATCCCTTCCGCAACAAGTACTGAACAAAAGGCTGGTGCTAAGCCATGCACTGAAATTACTTCAAAGCTGGGGCCAGATCGACCAAATCAGGCAAAGCAAGGGAGAATTTGGCAAGCAGTTACCTCATATGAGATTCAAACCATTTAAACATTCTGTCAGAGTGCAAGCTGGTCATTTCATGATACGCAAATGCAAGATTTAACTCCTCTTGGATGTAATGGGCCAGATGCTTGTCTGGAGAAATAATTTTACTCTCTCTGACAGCTTCTTTCCAACGTGTTCTACGGCCGTCATTCTTCATATATCCATTCTTATCAATAAAACCCTTTTGCCGGAAAAGTTCAAACAACTTAGCAGAAACAGACGGATCAAGACCTGGGATTCTATCAGCTAAGAGATGTGGCGACAAGGGGAACTCCATGCATTTGAGCTCTGCAACATCAACACCTTTATTTCTCAAAACTTTCATGTACTCATCAATCTTTTGCTGCCTAACTATATCTTTGGGCATGTGCATGAAGAGGGTTGGGGGATAGCTCTCTTCTATTTTGACTCGATCAAACACCCCCTCGGCAATCATGATTGCAATACTATTGAACTTCAACACAGTGGCAAGCACAGAAACAAAGTATCCCCCAGAAGAGGCCCCCATAGCAACAAGAGGAAGCTTTTCAAGCTTGTTTTTCTCAACCCACCATCTGATAATATCTTTAACTCTAATTAGCTCCTTCCCCATAGTCCAGCATGTCCCCACACTTGATATGGTAATGACAGCAAACTTTCGGGCAAGAGAATTAAGAGCAATTAGCCTTTCCTCTGGCAAACCAATGCAGTCAGGGCAGTGAGAAGATTTATCCCAAAAATGAGGAGCTCTACCTCCGCAACCATGCGCCAGAAAAAGAACTGCTTTAGGCGAATCTGGTATTTGCCATATTACTTCTGTTCCATTTGGAAACTCTAAGGTTGGAGAAAACCGCACCACTGACTCATAGCTATTCCACTTTTCCTCTGGAAGTCCAAGTAATGAACTGGTCTTTGGGACAGTGTTGCCAACTGACAATACGAAAACTAGAAGAACTAATGTAAAACATACTGCGAGAAATGAGACCCAACGGTTTTGAGGCCCATTCCATGCCTTTGATTTGTTTCCGTGCTTCCACATTCTTACTGAATACAAAATATTGGGGAAAATTCTTCAGATGAAGTTTTCAAAAGTTACAAAAAGCTGACTAAAAGCAAAAACATCGGTTGAGAATATATAAGAATCAATTGTAATTCAATAAGCAATTCCACAACTTAAAGAGTATAACGACTGCAACAACCGAAGCCAAACTCAACAATTACTCCATCAAAGCATTTTAAATCAATGGAAAATATACAGCTGACAACAGAAATAAGGTCCATTACATAAAAATCACCAAGAACCGGTTTTCACTTTTCACGTATCAAATCGTCACCACACTTTCACATACTGTAAACAACTAAAAATGGAGCAACCTTATAGAATACTGTAAATAAAATTTCTAGGATCCTTTAAGCTAATTTTTTTTCATTTATCTTTGAACTTCAAAGTTTTTCTTAAGTACTTTTCGGGATCCTTTACCGAGTGTACAAGTTCTATCTTAAAGGTACACAGGCTAATTCTCTAGTCTTGATAAACCCCTTTCTAACCCTAAGTTTGATTAAAGCCACAATTAGGTCCAACTAATCATGAATTAAGTAATCTTCAAATTTATGCCTTCCACATTTTCTATAGACTTGGAAATATCACATGCTTTTCTAAAGCTACAATCTTTTGATCCAAAGTTACAATCTTTGATGAGGAAATGCAGGGGAAAACACCAAACAAAGAACATTTTGTTTGAGTTGAATCAAAGCATGCAAGCAACATACAAATTCTTGTTCCTAATATTTCGTTTTCCCCGAATTTTCTCGGAAACCAAACAAGTCGAAAAAGGAACAGCTAAAACGTACCGGGAAGAACTCCAGATCCAGTTCTGGGAGCGAGCTTTCTCTGAGAATTTGGTGTCCTTTTTTCAGTCGTTGGATACCAGACCACCGTTAATACACCCGCCCTGAAGGCTGAGAGTGGTGGGTCACTTTCTATGGGCTTTGATTGATAGGTTTTTGGGACGAATTTTGGTCTCAGTCCATGACGGCCCATAACTATTTCAGTTAAACTTTTATCCCTTGATCACTGAAAGGTATTAATATCCAAGATTTGATTAAAAAATATTAGCACTTACAAATTGTATCATACAAAATTGATCTCAAAGCAAGGTTTATTCTAGTTATTTGGTATTTATTAACCACAGAGAATTTATTTGGGAAGAAAGAGAAAGAGTGATACAGCTGAAGAGGAAAAGTGATCTCAGTCGTACAATTTAACGTGAACAGTTGAGATTATTTGGTCTGCAGAATTCGAATGGAAATGATTCGGAGAGGATTCTTTTCGAACTTATGTAAGTTGTGATTAATTAGAATTACGATTTGGTGGTACTTTTCTTTCATTACTGATTTGGGAAGGAGCTCATTTCCCCCGATTTCTTCACCGAGAAATTTTAGAAACAAAACCGTTCTTCTTAATTTTCATTTGCATTAGAAATTGTTAGTATGTTAATTAGACTGAACAAGGAATGATTTTTGAGGTAGTAGGAAAGAGAATGGATGATTAATTAGCCATGGAAGTTGAGAAGCTGGAGGACAGCATTTGCTAGCAGCTCGCCACAAATGGCACACTGCGCGGCAACAGCCGTTGTAGAATCAATTGCATGGATTTGGATCCCATCCAGATCCAAATTGTGGGGATCCTAACGATCCTTATATTTTAGTCATTTATTATGTATTGTGTGGTTACAAATCATTTGACATTTTTTTATTTAAAATTAAGTACAATAGTACTTGACAAAAACTAGCAGCACGATGTATGATGAACGACTAGGATGTGAGAATCCCTAAGATCCCCACAATTTGGATCCAGAGAGAATCCTCTTCCCAATTGCATGACGGCAATCAATAATCTAAGCTTGCAAACCAAAGAAATTTTGTACCGGATCAATGTCATAATATAATAGGTTGCATTTTTTTTTTTTTTAAGTTTCCAACTATATTATTACACTTAATGTACCGGACAATTTTCTTATAATGACCAACTTCGAAATTTGCATTATAATTAGTAAAATTATGAAAATACCCCTATTGATGGGAAGGGTGACTTTCGTTTACTTTCATCCTTGGACATGTTATGATTTTCCATTCATTTTATTTCCATTGCTCTCATCTATATGAACGCGTAGGCGCGATCGGAATCGAGTTTAGAGCTAAAGTGAAGCTTCTATGATTTTTGAATGATAGGGGCAATTTGGTAATTTTGCAAGTGAAGATTTTTCCCTACTTTGGACCTCTACATGGTTGACACATGGCGTCCCTTTTCCCATTTCTGACACCCTTTTTCCTCTCCTTCCCGTGATCTCTCCACTTGAGTGTGGATTCCTTTTATGATCATTGTAACTTGTTGTTTTACCTTGCTCTAGCACTTTTGTTTAGTAGTATGCTCTGGACATATTCATGATCGTTGAATACTTTGTTTCGTGCATGCTTAAATTAAATGTATTGTTATTATTGCTTCTTAATGTTGCGTATTCGTTGTGAATGTTGTTTCTTGCATAATTTTGCATAATTTTTAAATTGCTCATTCTTTCATATCCTCACATAATAACACACTCATGGCTTTTGTCACCCCTGGGTGTCGGCCAGCACGTGCCATCTAGGTGTTATTTGGATATCTGGTTTGGGGCGTGTCATTTCCCAACACAGAAAAAAGTTCTCCCACAACAGCATTCTCCATAGGCGTTGGTAGCATGTAAATAAAACTAGTCCAAAGGGGATTTGGATCCCATCTAGAGGGATCTTCTTCACGCCCTATCATGGTACATCGTACAGCCATAAATTATTATGAAATTTTTTTATTTAAAATTAAATACAAAAAATAACTATCGAAATTGGTCTCACAATGTACGATGAACAGATATGATGCAAGGATACCTAAGATCCTCGTAAAGGAATTTGGATCCTCTTTGTGAGGATCCTGAGAATCTGTGAATCATGTCCGTTTATTTTAAATTTTCTTATTTAAATTAAACACAAACAATATCTGACAAAAACTAACTATACGATATACGATAAACACACACGATTCACAAATTCCTTGGATCCTCACAAAGATGATCTAGTGAGGATCATGTTGGCTCGTAAAGGGGATCCAGGGCAGATCTCAAAAGGATTAAGATGAACGAGTGATATTCCACATCAGCAATGTCATGTCAACATTATTAGTAAGTCTATTAGACCATCTCTAACTCTTAGAGTAAAATCTAAAATTTTTAGCCCATAAAATTTAAGTTTTAACTAAGAAACAACTTTTCTGCTCCAACTCTTCTGGTCTAAATTTTTTATCCCAAGGTTATTAAAGAATAGATTTAGGCTAATTTTTTTTAAGTAAATTTAAAAAAATTATTTACACTATCCTAATTTAATTTTATGAACATTTTAATCTAAAAATTATTTAAATTCTGATAAATATTGAAAAATCATTGAATTTGGGTGAATTTTGAGTTAAATAATTTTTTCAAATTACTTTAGTCATTGGATTTAAATTTGGGTTGTTAGATTTTTTTTTTTATACCGTTAGATTTGATCATATCAGCCATTGGATTCAATAAATTCATAAATATAAAATTAGAAATTAACAAAGTTTAAATCTGAACCATTGGACGGAATCCGTTGCTCTACACCGTCAGATGAAATGAAGAGCCATTCGGCTCATATATCTTCCCCGACATGCCTTCATGGGTGCGTCCCCTTGCTATTTCCAAAAGTGGGGGCATGGAATTGTAAGTGGGGGCCAAATTCGAATTTTGGCCGAAATTTGGCCAATTTTTGAGTTTTAGCCTATAATCTAATTTTAGCCCAAAGGTTGAAGTGTTTTTGGGGGAATAGAAAGTAAATTTTGAGATTTACTTTAAGGGTTAAAGTAGTTCTTAGGTTGTAGGAAAATTTGTTAAAGAGTAACCGTTGCCTCCTCAAATCCTCTCCCTCTTTTTGTCTTCACCCTGTCGTGAAATTCAGCACAAGATAAAAGCCTGCAAATTGAGTTCAAGATCCACTCCAACCCAGAGCTTGTAAGCAATAAAGCTTCAATGTTTCCATGTTTTCTCTAATTAAAGTTGTTTAAATTACCTAATCACAGGTCAATAGCTGTTAATTATGGGAAAACTCCCTCAACGTAGATCCAGATCTCCTGCTACTGTATGAAAGAATTTGGTTTAATCATCCTTCATTGGGTTAATGCCAGTAAAATCAATGTGGGTTGTAATTTTTATGCTTTATGAATATTGGGTTACGATCTGGGTCAGTTTTGTGCTGCATTTTTTCATGGATCCGGTTCACAATGTTGGGTCTGGTTGCTTGTTGGGAAAATTCGTTTGGAAAGTGAAATGCTTCTTTTCTCTTTGAGAATGAAGTCAGGAAGATCAGTGGCGGTTTTTCGTTTCGTTTAAATCATTGTCTTTGCAAAACAACTTTAGATTTGTAGTAATTTCATCTACCCTGGAAATAATAATGTAGCAATTGACCTGTTTTATTTGTCTGTGTGGCTTCAATTGGAGAATGAACATGTCTTTGCGGTCTAAGCGAGATGAAGGTCTCAAAAATTCTTAGTCATGAATTATAGCACACGAACTCCTCAGTAACGAGTTTATAATGCCCGTGAATTTCCATTTTTCTCATGTATGATGATGATTTGTTTCTTTTAATCATGTCAGTTACCAATACATTACCTTGTTTTTCCTGCATTTGTTAGCATACTCTCTTTTAGTCGAAGTTTTTGGGATTCTGAGTCAACTTTTGTGTGTTGAATTATGTAGAACACTTTTGGATCGATATGGCGAATGTGTACAAACCAAGGAACATCCTGATTACTGGAGCTGCCGGCTTCATTGGTTCCCATGTTGTCAACCAGCTCATGCGGAACTATCCTGAGTACAAGATTGTGGTCCTTGACAAGCTTGATTACTGTTCAAATTTGAAAAACCTTCACCCTTCACATTCATCACCCAGCTTTAAGTTTATCAAGGGAGACATCTGCAGTGCTGACTTTGTCAATTCAGTTCTTCTCAACGAGTCCATTGATACAATAATGCACTTTGCAGCCCAGACCCATGTCGACAACTCTTTTGGTAACAGCTTTGAGTTCACTAAAAACAACGTCTACGGTACACATGTCCTCTTAGAAGCATGCAAAGTCACTGGTCAAATCAAAAGGTTCATTCATGTAAGCACAGACGAAGTGTATGGGGAGACAGATGAGAATGCTGTAGTGGGAAATCATGAGGCTTCTCAGCTTCTTCCGACAAACCCCTACTCTGCAACTAAAGCTGGAGCGGAGATGCTTGTTATGGCGTATGGACGTTCATATGGATTGCCGGTGATAACAACCAGAGGAAATAATGTTTACGGCCCCAATCAGTTTCCTGAAAAGATGATTCCAAAATTTATTCTCTTGGCTATGCAAGGGAAGCATCTTCCGATTTATGGAAATGGATCCAATGTCAGAAGTTATCTCTATTGTGAGGATGTCGCAGACGCATTTGAAATCATTCTCCATAGGGGCGAGGTAGGCTGTGTCTACAACATCGGGACGAAGAAAGAGAGGAGATTGATTGATGTGGCTAGGGAAATTTGCCAACACTTCTCTTTGAACCCAGATGCACATATTAAGTTTGTGCAGGATAGGCCTTTTCATGATAAGAGATATTTCATAGATTACGAGAAGTTGAAAGCCTTGGGATGGTCCCAACAAACATCATGGGAGGATGGGTTGAAGAAGACATTGGACTGGTACGTGAAGAATCCCGACTGGTGGGGGGATGTTTCTGGAACGCTAGTTGCTCGCCCGAGAAACTGCGAAGTTTCTTCAAATTTTTCTTTTTAATGATATCACTGTTATTACAACTTCTCTGTCTTCTTTTCTTCTTGGAATGCCAGTCAGGTGTATATCAAAGAGAATAAAATGATTGTTACTTGGAAAGCAAGGCAGGGTAAAGCTGCCAGATTCAGGAAGTGAGCCTTCAGATTTATGAGCTTTCCATGTACAACGGAAGTTTTCTCCAGCTGCTTGTTGTGAATACGCACAGGAAACCCGAATGAATTAGGAAAACAGAAAGACTAGGGACCGAAAAGAATACGCAATTAGGCACAGAAAACATGAATGGATTAGGAAAACTGAAAGGCTAAGAATCGAAAAGAATACACAAACTGCAGGCACCAAGAGAGAGGGAAAGTAACTCTTTCACACGGGTAATCAGAACAAATCGAGCTGCTGGCAGCCCTATTCACCTACGTTAAACGCAAGGAGACACTCTAGTATTCTAGTTTCGTTTCGTTTCCTTGGCAATTTGAGCTTTCCAAATGAATTAGGGTTTTTTTCCGTCTTTCGGGTGTTATATTTTCGTTTTTCAAGTAGGATTTCTCTATCAACTGGAATCATCATGCTCACTATATAAAGAGTTCTTGAGATGTATTTGTTAATTAAATCGTCGATTACCATCAAAACTTTTAGCTTGAGCAATCGAACTTGCCATCTCTCTCTGTCTCTGTCTCTGTCTCTCTCTCTCTCTCTCACACACACACAAGCATGGAGTGCCATAGCATTGCTCTCCAGTTGACTTTAATCTGCCCATGCAATAACTGTTGGTCCAAAGTAGAATCCGTGCTGTATGAATTCGAAGGCGTGCTTGATTATGTGAAAGATGCAGATACAAATAAGTTGGTTGTGGAAGTGGAAATGGAAGACTACGTCTGTCCAAGAGAACTCATCACAGAGCTAAACAAGTTAACGAAGGTGACGGCAGAGCTTCGGGGAGCTCAACAGGGTTCCCAAAACAATCAAGGTCAATTCCATAACAAGTTCGACAGCATGGTTATTGGCGAGAGTAGCAAGGGAACGGCAAAGCCCGAAAAACTAACACACATGACCTGCCGGCAGAGGAAAACGATGGGGACAGTGATGAGTTTGATCAACGTGGGGACAAAAGACAGTGTCGCAAGGAAAAAATTGGAGGCAAAAAGAAAGGTGGCTTGATGAGATGGCCTATAAGAAGTACAATTGAAAAACGTGGCTCCGCCCATAGTGAAAGCAAGCATTATTAGGAACGTGAAAAGAAAAGATGTGATCACGATGACGACCACAATAAGATAGTGATGGTAAGCTTGACTTACATTACAGTGATGATGACGACGATCGCGATGATGGTGATAGTATGCTTGACTTACATCACAATGGTTATGATGACGTAACAGTGATGACATGCTTGACTTGCATTACATCATGATAATGATAACAACGACGATAGCCACAACAATACTAAGGACTTGGGCCAAAAAGATGAATTGGACCATATAGGACCAATGGGCCGTAGTTGTAAGAATGTCATGTACCCAGTTAATCATAACACGTATGCTTATATATGTTAAAATTTTCTAGGACTATTGGGTTTCCTTAATTATTTGGGTTTTATTGCAAATGGTCCCTAATGTTTTATTAAATCATTAGTTTGGTCCTTCATCATGTTCTAAAATTGTCAATTTAGTCCTCTATTTATGAAGTTATTAGTCATGAATTTTGTCCATGTCGTTAGGTTCTGTAAAAAATTAAATAAAAAATTAAAGAACATGCCCAGATTCCGCAAAACAATCAAGAGGAAAACCCCAAAAAGGAGGCCAAACCAGATATTGCAAAACAACCAATAGAATTACCCGGGTAGTTAAGCGTCCAAGAGGTCAAACCTATTGAACCTGCAAATTATTATAATATTTTTAATGTATAAAAAATTAATTTTTTGTCACGTGATACAAATTTGGCAGCCACATCAGTTCTTAATGGATCAATGAATGGAAAATGTAACGGATGTATTATATTGAAATAAAATAGTACTTGAGGTATGAAAGTGAAATGTTTTGAAGATATTGTATGAGATTGCAATAGACCTCAAATCTGAGATGGTAAAGTGTAATTTACCCAAAGAAGAATGCAAAACTATTCCATGGAATTCGTTATAAAGCCAGAACTGAAAGAATTAATTTCAAGTAGTTGCAATTTAATAGATAGTACAACAAAATTAATGGCAACGGCCTCCTCATGGAAGTGGAAATGAAGAGCGTTGCAAGCATACCAAATAGAATAAAAACCAACTCCAATCATAGCCCACAAAAGTAGCTGCACTTGGGTACCAAAACCTTTTTGTTAAGGATAATGGAAAAATCTAAAACTCTAAATTTTTCCATAACAGTAGACCAAATTTGACCTGCAAAAGAGCATTCAAAGAAAATATGTACCTTCACAACAAAGAGAGCACGTAGATGCTACGGCTAAACCTCTTCGCTGCAAGAGATCATCAGTTAAGATCTTGCTATGTAAATACTTCCACCGGATAACAACATTACGAAACGAGAGAAAAAATGTCAAACCCATCAATCCCATTGAACCGCTGGTTATTTACTACGCTTAACATAAGCCAAAGATGAAAAAAAAAAAAATTAAGGTTACCATTAGAAGCAGACATCCAAATCATTCCATATGTGTCAAATGTCAAGTTTTTCCTCTTAATTTTCAGTACACGTCTCTATCAACACTAAAAGGAAAAAAGATACGAAGGAAACATATAGAGTAAAAAAAATGTGATTAACTATTTGAATATTTTGAGAGTATATGTTATTAGTGGCTCCGTCTTATAAGCAGTAAAATGATCCAGAATATGAGAAAATCTGTTGTGTCACTGAAATATCCCTTTTATATATCTCCTTATGTAGTGTTAACCTAGTCGTCAATTATATATATTGTACGTTAGGGTGTCCTTTTCAAACTCCTCAATTGGCCGTAATCTTAATTTACAACTACCATTAGTACGTTTAAGACGTATACGTAAGGGCTCTAACCATCTCATTAGTATAACGTTGCCATCATGTTTGCATTTTATGCACTTTGTTTTTTTGGTCAATAAATTTCATGCACTTTGTTAGTATGATGATCCACTCTGATTAAAGCATAACCCATCCTACTCTGATTAGGCGTAACTGTACAAGTTATCCCAAAAACTTTTTGCTCCCGCGAGTCACATATGTGGATGTTTACTTAGTTGTTGATGGACTAGAACTCTCATGAATCTTTAACATGCATCGGTATGTAATATACAATATTGGATTTCTAGTCTGCATATTCAACCCTTCGTTCATTTTATCTATGTCATAATTAAACTGGAGCACAATAAAATTTTCGTAACTCTCAAAGTAAGATTCACATTTGATCAACTACAAGTCAATCATAGCAACTCTGAACTTTTTGCTAACAAGAGTGCAGATGCATGTTATTCTTTCTACTGCTATGTTAGCTAGTAAGTTAAGATAAAAATGGTTTCAAAACAAATAGCTGGACTTTATTTTTGGTTATAAATACTCATGTCGATACAATGATTTCAACCGATATTTATATGTATAAAGGGTTGAAAATTTTAATTTGAAATGAATTATTTTATGTGAATGGAAACTATATTTAATGAGTTGTGACTATTCATGATATAAGTTTGTAATATCTCAATTAAGGAGAAAGGTTGCAACCCTTTGCCTTTTAATGGAAGAGATGCAATTATAGACTCTTCAAGAAAAGACACGTTTATTCTGAAGAGTCATTTCTATGTCTATATAAAAGGTCTTTCCATCTTTAGTCATAAGTCAATTAATTAGCGGAGTCATACAAGTTTATACAAGTCATATCATATTTAGAGATAAAGTGAGTCTTTGAAAGAGTTCAACACAATCATAGTTTGCTAGAGCATTACGATATGATGTGCTACTATCCTAAGGAGGAGGTCTTTCTATCTTAAGAGACAACCATCGATCAATCATGAGCACCATACTGGAGCGTCAAATGTTTTTAAAGAGAGAGAACCAAATTCTTGACTCAATCGTTATTTTCATATTTTTCTATTTCATTATGTCGTGTTCGTGTTATCATTCGTTTGATCATGCATTACATATTGTCTTTACTTGCATGATAATATTTAAATTTTTCTGTTATTATATAGCAATTAGACCTTATTTTTTCAACAAAAAGTAAGACCAGGAACAGTAACATTGTTTGAATGAAAGACAAAACGGCTCTCGGTGAAACATGCCGCGCCATGAATGTAAGGTGTTCCCAGATGAACATGGTTGAATGTTGATGTCCTTTCTGTCGATCACCTAAATAGGCTATTACAACTTTACATTTGTAGTAATATATATAATGTTGTATTTGGTGGCCAATGTATCTAATTGGAGAATGAATGTCTCTGCACCTCCAATATATCTCTTCTTTTCGTTGGGATGGTCCCAACGGACTTCGGAGGAGAATGGGTTTACGACGATGGTGGACTGGTTCGTAAGAATCCGACCCGCGGGGAGATGTGAGAAGTTACTTTACTTCTTGGAATGCCTTTCATGTGCATATATCAATATATAGCTTTTAGGAATTCACTGCCGGAGGCAATGAAAGAAATTGTGTTCCGATTAATTGGTTCCTCGTATTTAACAGACAAAAAAGAAATTAAAACGAACAAATAAGAGATGTGCAAGGCAGGATTGAGGAAGTGAGCGCAAACAGGCACTAAAAGAAAACCCCATATGTAATAGGAAAACAGGAAGGCTAAGAAACCGAAAAAAAGGCAAAGCAGGCAGTAAAGATACAAGGGGAAGTCACTCTTTCAAACAGGTACTAATCGAAACAAAATCGACGCAGGTTGCCCGATTCACAAACATTAAACACATTAGTTTCGTTTTTTTTCCTTCGGCAATTTAATCTCTCTCTCTCTCTCTCTCTCTCTCTCTCTCTAAAGTTTTCCTTACGAATAAGGAAATCTAGTGGGATTCCTCGATCAACTGGAGTTATCATGAGCACTATATAAGGAGTTGTTTGAGATGTATTTGATCATCGATTGCAATCAAAACTTCTAGCTCGAGCAATCACACTTCCTATATCTCTCGTTCTCACCTCAACAAGAAGTTAGACAACATGGATTTCGGTCGTAAAACTTCTAGCTCGAGCAATCACACTTACTGCCGCAGGAGGAAAGTGGTGAGTTTGATCACGTTGGGAATTACAAAAATCAATGTGACAAGGAAGAAACTGGCGGCAAAAAGAAAGGTGGCTTGGTAAGATGGCTTAAAAAACGTTTTAGTAAAAAACGCGATCGTCCCCGTAACAAAAGCAAAGGTTATGAGGAACTTGAAAACAAAAGCCACGACTACGATGCCGATGCCATTGAAGATGACGATGTCGATGGTGATAGTGATTGTGATGACGATGATAGTGATAGTTCGCTTGACTCATAAAATGATGATGACAATAAGGATAATGACGGTACGCTTAACTTATATCCAGGGCCATCTCTGAGATTTTGAGGACCATGTACGAAATTTATAAAAGATTAAAAAAAAAAGTAAAGCAATGTATTGATGTTAGAAAACAATCACTTAAATCAAAACATAACATTCACTAAATAATCAAAAGCAGTTCAATCTTAAACAACCAA